CATCAGAGGACTTGCATCCAAAACTAGAGCTTAGAGCATTTACACAAGAGAGAGGCAGTTTAAAAAAATGAAAGAACATGAAACACCACTGAAAAGCAGAGGCTTTGCCTTTGTAGACACTTTAAAAACACAGCTTTGCACATCCAGATTTATCCTACCATGGCACCAAGAAACATTTGTATTGTGTCATTGTATCCAGGGTTGCTTGGGCCATAGGTCTTCCTGAAAGCAAATTCAAAGAGCACACATCTACTCAACACTTACACAGCAGTGTGCCACACTGGGCACTTGACACAGATGTGAGTTTCCCCTTTATTAGAGCAAGATTGCAAGCCCACAGTGAGTAAGTAGGAGACAACAGAGGAAAAGAGGTGGTTACCAGAGACAGAAATAGCTTATGTTTTTTGGAGGATCTCTGCAGCCAATTGATACCATGGTAAGCCATGTACCTGGCCAAACCAGCATGGCCACTGCCCACTGTGGCCCTCGCTCCTTAGGCCTCCTGTCCACATGGTCGATGCTCATGAGAGGGTGTCTAATAATAAAGAGCCAAATGTAGCGACAACTTTCTTCTGCTCAGTTATTTGCTGCTGCCAGTTCCACAGTGCCCCTGCCCCACAGCCTGGCTTTTCTGAGATGGGCAGGATTGTGAGAGGTTACCTGTGAAATATGGTAGGGAGAGCCATGCATGGTCATAAGAAACCCAGAAGGATCACAATTTCTTCTAGAAAAAACATACTTCCTAAGATGGAAGTGATTGAGAGGAATTTGTAACTTCTTTGAATAGAAGGTCATGTACAAAATAGCCTGACACACACCTATGTGTGGACTGCTCATCAAATCCTTGATTAGTCTTTGCTGTCTTTTCATTGTCGGTCCATCTGTAATTAGTAGGCAAGCAACCCACATTTTGCCAGGTAAGGTTTGTAATAAGCTGTTGACTTTAATCTGTTCACAGAAGCAAACAGGAAGTGCCAGAGCCTGAAGTGGAGAGAGAGACTGAAGAAATACACTGGGGAGAACATAAAAAAGCTTTTAGCAACATATTGTCAGATAAGCTAAGGAAATCACATCAGTATACATCTTTCAGCACAACTGGTTATAGTCTAGGTGGCACTTCAGTAGCAAAAAGAAAATCAGCCTTGCAGATCTCAGTACTGTAATAACTATTTTTAGATGTCAGCATCCTGAGGTGCCTATAGCTTTACACTGGATATAGGGAGGCCCCTATATACAACAGAGCTCTCCAGCCTTCTGATTTTTTATTAATTCATTGCCTATTAAACCAGAAAGACTTCAGTGAAGGTGTAAGCTCCCAAAGAGAAGACGGACTACACCTATTGATATCACTACAGGGCTGTTGGTTTTCGTTACCCATCCCCTGGAGAATCACCTTATGGGTCCCCTCAGTGCTCACAAATGACACAGCTGAGGGTCGTGGTCCTGAGCAGTGCAGGAACAGCAAGGGACCACTGACATTCCTATACCACTTTGGGGATGGATACTCTGCAATGCCTGAGCTAATCATCAGTGCACAGCTCACCACCTGGAGTAATCCTCCAACACCTGAGCAAACAAATCATGCTCTCTCTTACGGATCCCCAAAAAAATCTATTAAAGGCAAATCTAACGGCTTCATCCCAGTGGTCTGAATTTCCCTGGACAGGTATTTAGACATACAGGGAATGTGTTACTAATAGAAAAGCTCCTCCAACTTCAGGAACTCTGAGAGATAATTTTAAATACAGTCAAATGCATGGATTAGCTAACATTTGATTAAATGTCTCCAGTGACAGTTAACAGACTCCTTTGGTGCTTGAAGCCTTTTGTGGATTCCTGGATGTCTCCTGCACTACTGTTTACAGAGCCCAGCCTCAGGCACATATGGTTTGCTTGAGTTTACAGATAGGCTTTATGACAGTTTACTACCTGTGGAATAAACCCTTGTCTCAAATGAGGAGTCCTCTGTGCTAGGCATTGTACGGGGAAGAGGAAGACAGTTCCTGCTCTGGTCCTTGCTTCCTCCCTTCCGTGTTGCTTTAAATATGAGCATTTAGCATATGAAATTAGTCCTAAAACTACCACGTATTAGTTCTTCCATCTTACTGCATACCTAAAATACATCCAGAAACCTCTCAAAACCTGAGCCTCCTCCTAAGTGCTAACAGTACATTCTCAAATACTTTGTCTAGACTTGAAACATGTTCAAGCAGCAAGGCCCAAGTGGGGAACAGACAACATGTTTAGTTCACAATAAATTAACTGGAATGAAGGCTAATCTTCAAGGCTGACATGTTCTACCTCTCTTCAACAGCCTGAAGGCAGGAATGGAATTGAGCAAAACTTTTTGCACAGGACATGGCATTTCCCAAAAAAGCCAACCTGATCATCTGTGGCCTCAAACATATTTTCTCAGCATGTCTGTTCTCCAATGCTTTGAAATAAGTCCAACCAGCTGCACTCTCAACTTGAGATCCCCACATCAATGCCCACAGCTAGGTTATACAAACACAAGTCTAATTCAGATTTTTAAGCACATACAGAACAAGACCTCTCTCCAATGCCTGAAAGGAGGAAAAAATATAAGCATTTTCCTCTTACTACAAAACAACACCTACAAGACTTGAGCGTTTCGTTACTATGAAAATATTCTGGATGAAAGGCTGCCCTCTAGTGAAAAATCCACGAACTCTTCATTAGGCGCTGCAGTTAAGGCAGTGAAAAACAAATGCCGTAAGTACAGATGATGCTGCTGCTGAAACAGCAAGTGGCAAGTGCATTCACACATGCCAACGCGATTATGCTTCAGCCTTCTGTGTCACACTTAACGCTTGACCTCCTCCTAGACGCTACAGCTGCAGAGATGTAAGAAACTGCCCCTTTCCTCGTAATTGCCAATTCAGGACTAAATGTTTGCTATCTACATACCTATCAGGTCAGGATTTTCCATTAGGGCCTGGGTTTTGGAACAAGCTTATTGTCTATCGTGAGAAGTTAGTCAGCCTTGGGGTATGCCTGCCTGCCTGTGGGAACAGGAGAAGGAAAGAGGGCGTACTGTGTGAGATGGCAGGACCCTGTGTGAGATTAGATGCTGAGTCAATGAGATCTCTTGACATTTATGCTGTCAACAAAATGATTTGGTTGGTGCAGGGATCAGCAAAAAGGATTTTAGAAAACCCACTACAAGCTAGCTCAAAACAAAAGGTTTCAAAGATCCAGAAAACAAGACAGATAAGTAAATATATGTACCAGGCCTTGGAAAGAAGGAAATTTGAAGGTGCTGCCAAGACTGGTAAAGAGCAAATGAAGCCTTATTAACTTATATAGCAAGAGACCACAGAATACTTCACACAATCATGGGGCTGCAGAACATCTTCTGGAGGTGGGCAGCAAACCTAAGGTCAAGTCAGAATTGTGCCCAAGCCTTGTTGCACACATATCCCAGTGTTATTAGTTCTACATTCATAATTATGTATTCAGGAAGCATTGCTGCTGCTCCTGTTGTTCTCAGCTCCTCCTTACGTGGTTTCACAGACCCTGTGGAAAGGCACAGCCGCACCAGATCCAGTCTGAAATGCCAAGCCAGATAGGCAGCTTCTTGCACCAAAGGTGCAACATTTTGATACCCTGCTAGTCAGCGTGGATAAATCCTGAGCCATGATAGCTCACAGTGCTGGCACGGTGTCCCAAGCAGTAGCAGCGCCTCCACTGCAATGGAAGCGGTCAGACCACTGCTGCCACACTTCTCCTGTACTGGGTTCTGGCCATTGTCTGATGAGCTTGTTAACCACCAGAAATCAGAGCAGTCAAAACACAAAACATCTCTATCAGCTCAGCAAGCTCGTGAACGATCTAATGCTGCCAGGCTTGTTTAGATAAACGAGGTCCTGCATTCTACCAGCAGCCTTGTTCTGCATTTGCGCATTTTCCTTCTTTCTGCCTGGACACCTTAAGGTAGCAGCAGGTAGTTAGGGTACACAGCACAACCTGCCCATCTGCAATGAAGACGAAGTCTGTAGATCAGATTGCCAAGCATTTGTTACCCCAAGAAGTTTACACCTGCAATGACAGCCCTGAGGAAAACTCAGCAGGCTGTATGCCTCCAGCATAAGCTACGAGAAAACCAAACCACTCACTGCATGACAGAAGACTCAGTTTCCAGAATTCTCATAAGTTCCCACAACTCTTAAGCCTATAAATCAAAACTATTCATCTACATTATCAAGGAATTCACTGCTGAAGAGGTACCCTGAGTATTTTTGCTCAAGTCTGACTTTAAGTGTCAAGCTAAACAGCACAGGACTGGATAAGCAGTCCTATCTAGAGTGCCACAGCCTTCTTTTGAAGGCATGAATTAAATCTCTAGCAAAAGAAGTGTTATAACTAAAAAAAAAGACAGAAGACACTGTATCACTTCATGTTTTCACCATATGCTGCCAATAAAGTGGTTCTCATATGCTGCTGAGCCAAAACAATCCCATTATGGTTCACCACCTTTCCCTGCCTGAGACATCTTTGAGCAAGCTGCTCCACAGCAAACGGCACATGGTGAATACTTAGGACAAAACCACATCACCACTTCTCAGGGTATTGCGTTACTATCACAGAATGGTTTGGATCGGAAGGGACCTTAAATACTGTCTGGTTCCAACCCCCCTAGCATGGGCAGGGACACCTTCCCTTAGCCCAGGTTGCTCAGAACTGCATCCAATGTGGCCTGGAACACTGCCAGGGATGGGGCATCCACAGCTTCTCCAAATAACCTGTGCAAGTGTCTCACCACCCTCACAGGAAAGAATTTCTCCCTGTTATCTGATCTAAACCTACCTGACTGCAGTCTGAAGCCATTACTATTTACAGATACACAAATCTCAGTCTGCTAAATAGTAATTTTTTTCTTAACTACTTACAGAGTTAATGTTAAACCAGTGAACAACACAACTCAATAGAAAAAAAAAATTATGTCCTTAAATATGCAAAAATTCCAAACCAAAGGCAAATGTGTACAAAATAATTTATTACAGCATAACATATGTTGGCAATATTTTACAGTGAATTTTTCCATTCAACAATTTTTTTAATCTAAACAGATGACACACAAAGGAGAATTTTAATTAGAACAGTTTATTTGTCTTAATAAAATCCCCTCTTCATGAACTGGTATTTGCCTTTGAGGGGCTAGTTAATATTACTGAAATTATTTACATTGCAGTGAAATAAAAACAAACCAAGATTGAATAATTCCATTACAGTTTCCAGAAATTTTCTGTACAAGCCACAGTATAATTATGTTTTGATAGCAGTTCATATAGAATGTAAAGCTGTCATGTGATATGTAGCCATTCTGTCTAACAATGCTATGCTTTAAATAGGTATATTAGATTTAAACTTCCATTTTGACGTGTTGTATATTTAATAGTTAATGCACCAGAATACAAAGTAAGAAAAAGGTTCATTATGATTTGTAGTCTGCCTCTTTGTGCTCCCTTAAACAGTTTTAAAATGTAAAACATATTTCTGTTTTGCCTCACAGCACCTACAGCAATATCATTTAGGCAGGAGAAATTCTAGAGTATTGGCCATAATACTTAAGTAGACAACTAAGACTTTTAATGAAGGTAATACAGAACACTCACCAGTGAGTTTTTATGATGTAGAGAAAAACTGTATTCCCCATTACTGTACCTTCTGCACTCATGCAAAATTGGAGCAGCTTTTTTCATCCTAAGTGTCAATAGGTGAACAGATGGGGAGAAACCAGAAGGAAGAGGAGGAAAGGGGAGATGGAACAAAGGTCAAACAACAGTATTCAAATTCACTGTCTTCTCAGGGAATTGCTTCAGGGTATTAAACTTCAAAATGTTAAACTGACTATAAAATTAAGGAAACAATAACCATGGAACACAAGGTAGAGGGAATAGTTTTCAAAAAGCCTTAGGTATTTGTTGGTTTAGGTTTTTTTACACAAACCTAATCTTCATATCTGTCAACACTGGTTCCATATAAGACACACACCTGACAAAAACATGCAACCCCCCCCAATGCTTTCATTGTTGATGTGCTTCAAAAGAAACCAAACTGACCAAAGTAAGAAATCCAACCAAAACAACCCAGAAAAAAAACCCTAAAGAACAGTAAAGACAAAGAGGGCAGTTCAAGCAGCACTTCAATCTTAATCTGCTAAAAACTCTCAAATGATAATTTATTAACAAGATATGTTCACGTATATCTGCATATGTAACAACACTTAAGTGAAAGCAGTCTTTAATATCCATATTATTGTGAGGGAGGGCTGATGAATTATTAAAAGACTTAAACCTGTACAAGTATAAACATGAAAAATGCTGATTAAAGATGTTTACATAAATATTGGCAGTTTTCATTGGGAGGGAAAAAAACCCTAATAGCATACTCCATTTGACTAGCCAAATATTTTGTTTTAGATACCTGTTAAAGATATTAAAATACGACCTGGAAAAGTAACCCTGATCTGTATCCAGCCAGCATGTAATGAGAGTCAGAGTTTCATATACATGTGTGTATGTAGGTATACACACACACAGGGGCTTGCACACAATACTTCAGATTTCATTGGACAGCAAATCATGGTTAATGGCTGTGTGATTCACAGATGCAATGCTGCTGTTTTCTTCATTTGTGGCAGGCATGAAGGCAGACGTAAAAGGAAACAGTTTATGACATGCTGCTTGATATTCTTCACACTGAGTACGGCAGCTTCCAAAACTGCCATCAAGTAACGCCTCAAAAACCTTTGTTAATGTCTAAAGAAACAAAAGCATCAGTTAATAAATGCAATTCACAAATGTTTTGTTTCTAAGGGCACATACTGTTAAACAATACTAGTCTCAGCAAACAGGTTTCTCTGTTGGTATTTATGCATCTTTTACTCACAGGAAAAATCTGAAACCTTGTTCTTTCAAGTAATCATTTATCATGGTAAATGAAGCATGCACATTATCCTGCATTAAATTATACACTACTTAAGATCTCACACAGTGGTTTTATACACTGTATCTTTTACCTTCACATTTTTGTCTCTCATGTTTTTATCCAATCTAGTTGCAACAGCAATTGCTTTTTCTTGTCTTGATTTGTCCAGGAAATACATCATCTTTGCACCTTATCACAAGACAAAACCCACAATGTTTAGTTTTCCTAAATGCCATACCACATATACAGACACACAGAACCTGAAAACTTAAGTATAAATCTGAATTAAACTTCTTACAAGTTTTAATCAACTATATCTTCCTCCCTGATTTGTAACTGGAAACTAATGAAATGAAAGCCATTTTGAAATTTATTAGAAGCATAAGGACTGAATAATACAGGAGACCTGTTCCTGCAAAAGTGACATGTCTCACTTGACTGACAGGTCTTCAGTACAGAAAAATATCATGGAGTACATTGATGACAAGCCCTTCAAATCAGCAGGCTAAATGAAATCCATCCAACAAATGCAGGAGCGAGTAGCTCTCAGAGACGTACTTGAATTCTCTTTAAAAATACTGGAGCTAAGTGAACAGCAGTTACTAAACAACTGTGGAACATGGCCCAGTAGAAGTTCAGGCCAGTCTACATGGCAAACACAGGACCATGGCTGCTCATCTGGAGCTAAGGACACAGCTTAGGTACAAGGAAAGTGCAGCACAAGTTTGGTGCTTTGCCTGGACCAGACTGCATTGGAGGAAAGGAAAACACTGCATCATGGAACTACACAGCTTCTCAGACAACAGCTTACCAAAACTGGTCTGGGCATCTCTGCAAAATTCTGCTCCTTGTATTGTAGCTGCCTTAATCTAAAATCTCATCTTAATGAATGTGCTGGCAATTCATGCACTTTCCTTTACCCAAGTATAAAGTCCAAGTCCATTCCACTACGTAATCTACTGCAAAAACCAAAAAGCTTAATCATTTTACTGGAAAAGTTAAAACCCCACATTCTGGATGGTTCGACTGTCTTTTGGTTTTGCTCAACTCATTTCCCCAGTTATTAGTTTTCCCAATTAAATAAAGTTTTCCTAGTTCTTCCTGCTTTTTATAGGTTTAAGGAAATAAATTGCTACACTCAATGCAGACTGCAGATAAAGATTCTGGATTTACCTCACTTAAATAATCTCCTTTTCAAGAACATGAAAAAGTATGACAAACCTGACAGTTGGTGCTGAATGGAGGTAGCATTGTGTTTGAGAAATTCTTCATTAAAACTCTCCAGGTTTTTATTGACAAAGATTTTCTGCATTTCTTGAGTTAGGACCTTGCTCACAATTTCTGGGAGGTTACTATGGTCAGACACTAGAAGAGGAAAGGCAGGGGGAGAGAAGCAAAAAAAAAAAAGCCATTTAAACAATTGTAGAAAACACTGAAACCACAAGCATCACCGCTGAAAGTCCCAGTTTTAAAATTTGTGCACAGAAACACAAATCTCAGATCAAAATGTGTCAATACAAACAGTGCTGGTGCATTTAGAGAGGAAACATTCATAAAGGGTGCTCTGTCATGTAAACTTTCTATTACAAGTTCACCACACAAGCTGTTTCAGTCAGAATCATTCTCCAGAATCTGCCACTTATTTTTCTTAAATCTTAAAGCTTTCCAGGATACTCAGAACACTCACTTTTCTGGGAAATCTAGCCAAAATGAGTTGTTGGGTCCACCTGGTGGATTAATGGAGGAAGGTATAATACATACACAGTACACTGGGAAGCACAGCCTATGTTTTCTTTGGTATTGCCATGAAAAAAACCCCATGTTTTTATTTTTCTTTGTATCAGTTTGTGTTTCAAGAGTATACATTACAAAAATATGTAATTATGTCCTTGCAAAATGTAACTTCTTGTATCTTTATAATTACATATTTCCTACACACATACCAGCTTTAGAGAATTTAATCAAGCACTCATGTAGCCATGGGTTATTCCTGTTGATAGCAAAAGCTCTTTTGACAGACTGTAACATTAACAGAAACTTTCCTGTGGGAAGGAGAACAAACATATTAGGAAATCAAGATTAAGAATACAGAACATTTTATCTTCATTATTAATTACTTTATTTAGTAAATCTAACACAAATACTAGAAACATCAGTTTCTATAAAGAATTAGAAACAAAGCTTATTTTCGCATTCAAATTGCTTAATAAACCAAAGTTCTTACTGCTCCAACTCTGGCAACAGAGCCCAGATGTTACCACCTATTTAGCTTTGGTCTCCTCTAGATAACTAAAGATCAAACCACAGTATTTAAGAGTATATACTACAACGTAATCTGCTCTTAGGGCTTTTTTTGTTTAAGGGTGACTAAACAAAAACTGTATTATTATTAATAAAACTGTAATATTATTATTGGATATGATGCACACCTCAGCTTCATTCATGTAAGTATTCCAGATCACTTTCCACTACACTTGGATACACAGGCTGAACTGAAAGACTAAAATGTTGTAAACAAAAAAACCCAACAAAAACCCCAAAAAAACCCCAGTACTTTACCTTTTCTAAAGTATATTTCAAATGCTAATAAGTGTGTTTCTATATCATCTCCAATAAGATTCTTAAGTGGTATAAGGAACTTAATGGCTTCTTCTAATGGATTTTCTACCTGTTTTAATAAAAGAACAGTGAAAATGATGGCTTAAAATAAATGTCAAATAAAACCCACCAAAAGTTTCTGTTATTCAAAGCATTTAAATAATCAGAGGTCAAACGTAAACTGAAGCTAGCTTTCTGAATTAAACTGCACCACAGCATTTTTATTTAAACAGCAAGATTTTTAGAAGTGTTTATTCATCATTTCATGTTGATAAAGACAACATCATTGCTAACTCTGGCACTTCTTGTGAACTCAGTGATGTAATTCAGCATTTAGGAAACTATTAAATACAGCCATCTTAGACAACAAGTTTTAAGTTTATTGTGATAATGGATGTAGTTTTTTGTGCATAGCTAAGTACTGGCTTATGCCTTCAAACTTTGCAAATTGTAGTAATTTCTGTTACTTTTCCCTCTCCTCACTGTATGAAAGGCAGATTTCTTCAGGCAAAACACATATTTTTGTTCAGTATCTATTTTAATGAAGTATGACCTACTGTTTGGGGAAAAAACTCTGAAATCTAAAAAAAGTAATAATATTAATGTAAAACTTGGATTTATTGAGGAAAAATACTTGTCTTTAATATAAAAAGAGACTGATTACAAAAACGTACCTCTGAATGATTTTATAAAAACACCTAGATTATTTTAGGAGACTCTGATAGCAAACCCATATTATAAGTTTTTTATGATCATCACAAGAGTTTAACAAAAAAAGACCATGCTAACCCTTTCCAGTTTTTCAGGAACCAGCTCTTCCCTGGGTCCACTAGTTTCCTCCTCCTCTTCATCTCTCTTTTTCTTTTGATTTTTTTGCTGTCGTTCTCTTTCTGCATGCTTTCTTTCTTCTTCAAGTTTTGCTTTCTTCTGTGCTCTTCTTTGTTTACTAAGCATTTTCTTCAATTCTTTGGCTGAGAGATTTTCTATAGGTTAAAGTAACAGACAGCATAAAGTATTTAATTCAATTTCTCTCAAACAACTCAGGTCATTATGCTTATCCCCATCTCCATATAGCAAACTTGTAAGTGATTTCCATAACTACCAACAGTCACTAGAGTATCACCACTTCACAGGTCAATACTGCTGCTGGATTACTACTTACAGCATAACAACACTTGCTCTTGCATATTTTCTCTTACATGGCTGTTACAGAAACCTTAGTGATTTCAAAGGTTAGCTACATAAAGTTGTTATATATATCATAGGTTTTACCTTAGAAAATGAGCAATGGCAACACTAAGCTCTCATGTTGACTGTAGCCCAGCTTGCTTCTAATGCCATCTAGAAACATCCAGATGGATTTACATTCCATCTGAAAACTTGCTAAACTTGCTATTTTTCATTAAAGTGTCTGACTAATATACAGCCATGTTAACTGCACTGATTTCATGCAAATGCCATGGGATAACTACATGGAAATTATCAGTTTAGCCAGAATAACACTGCAGCTTCTGGTCTGTTTACTGTGGTGATTCACTGAGAACAGGATTTTTGCTAAATGTGGCAAAAGAAAAATGGGCTCCCAAGGGACTTACACATCTTTTTTGTGGCTATGACCTCTCTGCTTGGGTCATCCCTATTCTGACGCAGGGAAGCAAATGCTCTTTTTACCCCATCCACACAGTGCTGCCTTCTCCTACAGATAAACTTACTGGATCCCAATGAGCAGCAGGCAAATGAAGTAACATGACTTCTTAGACACCACCCATCTTTATGATACATTGCTATTCTCTGTAACAGATCCTCTGCCACAAACTAATCTTACATTATATACAGAAACAAACTGAAGTTGGAGAGAACAAAAAGTGCAAGTTCAACTATTTAAACATACCTCTTCATTATTTATAGGCAGGTATAGAAAAACTTATTCACCTCAGAATAAAGGTAAGATTTTATTGCAATATTAAGTGGCATTTTTAGTTTAGCTTCCCTTTTTCCCCAGGTTAAATATTTTTCCCTTTGCAAAAAGCCAGAAATTAATTTCTCTGCTTTAGTCAACAGCCACTGCAACACTGACAGTAAGTGCAATTCCATTAAAGGAGAAGCAACTATTTATCCTAAAATAATAAAAAAAAATTTAATCTGCCATTGAATCCTCATATTTCCAAACTACACCCCACTGGCTTCCTAAGAATGTCAGCTGTCCATTAATATTAGTTTTAAATAATGTTCTAAATGTATTAATATTGCTAACACACCCATTTATTCTTTGGTCCTTTTTGGTCTTTTGGTCTTTTGTGTGAAAAGTGATAAAACCTAATGCAGTAGTAACTATTATTGCAATGTAATGAATTAAATACATGAGATCAAAATAAAATTCTTGTAATTTAGATTGCTTTTCCACAAAATCTATCAATTGCTCCATAATTCATTAGTTAATATTTATCTAATGGATGAACTGAATCTGATTTTAATGTTCTGAAAGGTCACTCCTCCCCGGGTACTCTAAAACTACAGCTAGGTTCATTCATGTTCTAGTTCCACAAAGTAACGGGATGTGAACAGAGCAAACTGTAGCCTGTTACCTATGATCTCTTTTCAGTTACTGTGACAGAAAAGTGGAAAAACTTCTGCTGTATTTACTCTGTAACACGTAACTTACTTAGCTTAAGCTTTTACATGTGTCAGACATATGAGCCTTCATTAAAGTGTAGATACCTGAATTCACTTCTTGCTCTTTGCTTTCATTGGTAAGAGGATTATCATGGAGCTTCAAGTAAATTTCAATTGCTGATCGGGCAGCCTTGAAGTAGAAGGCATGTTTCCTGAGCACGTCTTCTAATCTCAGAAGGTCTACATAGGCACGGAGAGTCATTTTTCTCATGCAGTACGTGTGGAAGTCAAATTGATCATCTGTTATCTCAAAAAAATGCTTAAAAAAAAAAACCACACTCATTTACTCATCCTTTACTTAGGCCACCTTTTATTAATTACTTTTTTTTAGATAGAAGTGAGTAAAGTTACAATTGATATTATTTACAGACAATATTTAACAGGTATAGACATATCCTTCTAATACTGACTGTTCAAGAGAAGCTAGTGGTTGGTAAAAATCTCAGTAAAATCAGTTAAAGGTTATAATGTGATTATTCAAAGACTAAAGTCAGCATAAAGTTAATGTAGGAATAGTTGCATAGAAGATATGGTATTTTATACTGAAGCTTTTTCACTTCATTAATAGTCTTTTATATTGAAGATGACATCTGTTACAAAAAATCATCATGTATTAACCTGATGCAAAAAGTCATACTAGAAGTTTTATACGCTTCTAGCATACAAGACTGTGCTGATTACATCAACAAATATCTTTACTCGCATGTGAGAAATACTGGGGAAGCAGTGGGTGGTGTTCGCACCTACTTACCCTTTCTACTTCATGACATTTTTTCAAGGCGTCACCGTACTTCCCTAGCCTTTGATAAGCCGCGGCACATTCCGTCTGGAACCACATACACTGCATCTCGTTAAGGTTCTCCATAGCAGAAGTTCCTTCCTGAAATAAGAGTCATCATCAGGTTTTGCTATTGTAATTTACCAGCTGCATCTTTCAACTGTGGCTGCTTTCAGGCTGTTAGGAGCAAACAATCAATCCTTCAACATACTTGGAATACAACAAGAAATGAACACCCAGTGACTCGTGATACGCTATGCTCCCTCAGATAGAAAGTAATAGATTTAAATGATTTAAAAACCCCAATTATTTGAAGATTAATGTCTCAACAGGTTTTTAAGATTAACTCATGCTTGTACACACAGTCTCACTTCTACAATTTGGGGGCACAAAACATTATTTAAAAATATTCCTTGAGTCCAGCAAACAATTTTTGCTGGTTTTTCCTCATCAAGTAAGTGGCATCCACCAGTCTAAAAATCCACCAATATCATTAATATTAGCCATTAGGTTTTCAAAAGAGTCTTTATAGCAGATAAAAGACCCAGTTACATTCAACATTTACTGTTACTGAGGATATCCTGTCTTTCCAGACGTCTATGATAAAATTCTTTCTTACTTTGTAACACTTCTGACATGCGAACATGACGAGTTTTAGTAATCAAATTTTCAATCATTCCTAGAAACACCCAGCAAGCTTAAATCCAATTTCAAGTGTCACCATATCCAGAATTTAAAAGCATGAAGGAGCCTAATTTATGTACTCCAGGATATCCCAAAGTAGTTGTCATATTTGGTTCCATAAATTATATGAAAATCTGATATTTATGAACCCAAATTTTGTCCAATGTCAAAAAATAGAATTTAAAGTGCTTATCCCATCTTTTAGGGATAGACTCTGTTTTAACAAAATTTTTGTGCGTAATACTAGCCTAAAGGAATGAAATGTTCGAGTATAAATTAATTTATGTTACTATTAAATCATAATGCGTATAGTACACACTCCTGTGCAGCTAGATCAGATGGTATCAAAGGGGAAATAACAAGGTATCCATCAGAAGTATGGCAATAAAAAATACTCCACAACTACCCTTGAACAATCATTTTTTCCAGTATTTAGTGGGTCTAGACACCTGGATTACTGCATCTATCTTTGGGGCCCCCAGCACAAGAGGGACATGGGCCAGTCAGAACAGATTCAGAGAAAGGCCATGAAAAATCAAAAGGCTGGAACCTGTCCTGTGACAAAAGAGAGTTGAGGTTCACCCTGGAGAAGAATACCTTACAGCAGCCTGCCAATATATGAAGGAAGTTCGTAACAGAGAAAGGAAGAGACTTTTCAGCAGGATCAGTAGCAACATCAACAGGAGCAAAAGATTTGAACTAAAAGAGGGCAGCTTTAAACTGTATGCAAGGAAAAAAAATTTTACTGTGAGCATGTAGCAATACACTGGATTGTAGTTGCCCAGGAAAGCTGTGGATGCCCTGTCCCTGAAAGTGTTCAAGACTGGGATGGATGCAGCTTTGAGTAACCTGAGATAGCCAAAGATGCCCATATCCACGGCAGTGGCACTGGATTATTCCACCTTTAAAAGGCCCTTTCCAATACAAACCGTTCTATGAGTCTGCGTAGTTCCTTACCATCAGACATAGGAGCATTATAATAAAATGGATATCAATAAAAGATATTTTATCAAAAGTTATGAGTGAAAAACCACCAGAGGCAAGAAAAACACCTCTTAATCAAGGCAATATACTTGCCCTTGTGAATTTAGAGCACATCTCCTCTGCATCCTTCACCATATTTGCTCGCAGCATGTATTTAGCACATTTAGAATTGATAAATCTGTCTGCAGTATCCAAAGACTGTGCTTCATCCATCCATTTGGCAGCTTCCTTGATGTTACCTACATGCTGTCAGGGAGAAATGAAATAGTTAACTTTCAGTAGAGGCCTGCTATAGACCATCTCCTGAAATCTGTATGTTACTGGTATTTCTCCATCAGAACCAAATGCCAGTGTTACTCTCACTCCTCCCACTCCCAGATTTTTTTTTGGAATTACAATTCACTGTAATTTGTGACTGGCTTTGCAAAACCCAAACAAAAGGGTTTTCATTTCCTTCCTGACAAAACAGTGCCCAAAAAGAAACCCGCATGAAAACTGATGCCCTTAACAACTGCTAACTGAAATACTACCCACACATTCACACCAGTCTGATGGGTTGATTTTTTTTTAAATACACTACATCTCCATGTATCCAAATTCCCCTTTTACCTTGTAAATTTTTGCTTTTAAATAGAATAGCTCTATTAATGTTGGAGTGCTTGCAATTGCAGCATTAATGTAATCCAAGGCCAAAGAACACTGGCCAAGTTTGTCAAAGTGCTGTGCCAGGAAATACCGAACCCAAAGCAGTGTTGTTGGGGGCTCTTTCTCTCCATTTTCTGCAACAAAATGGGAAAGGTTACAATAACCAGTAAAGCTGAAGACTGCATTTGAAAAATGAACACAAAAACAAAGCTTGTCAAATTCAGCAAATATGTCTTGTAATTAATTTTTTAACTGGAAAGTATAGTAACTATCTTTTTGCAAAAGGTATCAGCACTTCCAAAGTTCTTGATAACTTCCATGAACAGTATTAGTAGTTACAGGGTAACTAATGTAAGACCATAGAAACTTACCACATGTACTAAAAAGGTCACAAGTTTTCAAAGAGGCTTCATAACCAGTAACAAGTTCCTGGATTGTAGAAACCTACATATAAAAAAATAGTATAGGCTTAAATGTTGCTTTACTATCATTTTAATAGAAATTAATACACTGAAAATAATACTTGAGCAAATTAGAGAAACTATACAAAAATAACTACTTAATTTGGAAAAAAATCTGATGTATCTTCACATAGTTTTACTTCACCTTTTGCGGGTATTTTGATCACCCATTTTAACTAGTGATGCGGCAGGGAAACGGGTTGATCTCAGGCAGCTTACAACAGAAGGTATTCAAGTGCATATGATTAGTATCTTATGTAAAAATTCCAAAATGTAACTTAATTTATGCTATTCATTTTTAAGCATTGAAACGGAACCAATTAAAAGAAAGGTGCTTTGAAAAAGACCATGCATTAACTTCCTATAACAATGACAAAACAGACACTTCTGTGGCTTTTTGGCAGATTGATCTGTACTATTAATGATTTTGGTTTTGTTTGAAAGATATTGTTTCCTAGAATGCAGATTCCATCTCTTGACAAAAATTTATACACTGACTGAAGGGCAATACTTCCTGAATCAGACCTTGTCAACAACCTTGTCAACCTTTTCATTCCTAGGTTTAAGACTCAAAGCTCACCCACGCAGTTTTTGACTCACGCTATACAGGTCTGGTATTCACACTAAGTACAAACAGTAGGATACATGCATTTCATGACAACTATTCAAATTCCAGGTCCATGGCTCAAAAATGCCACTTAGTATTTCTAAACATTTTATGAAGTGCTCAACCAGTTTTGTAGCTTCATTCAGAATATGTCTACCATATCTAACAAGTAACCAATGAGTCTCTTTAGGGAACAATATTACAGTAAAAATATTATCTATGTATATACATCCAAAACACAGAAGGGACTTAGAAACATAAGACATGACAGTAAGCACAGCAGGATAATGGCTACATTGACCATCAGGTGAAATGTTGGGATGGTAAAAACCTAAAACTTCAATGGTTAAAAGTAAGATGATCCTATATTTCAAAAATTGATTGCAAGAGTAAAATAGAATTGTAGAGAGACAGCAAAATTTTAAAAAGCACAAATTAACAATGCATGCATTCACTTCAAGATACACTTTGGGAGAGAAGGGAGAATAAACCTTGTTCCAGAAAATCAAAATATACAGTTTGAAGGATACCACTTTATTTAATGTAATTCAGCACAATAGGCAAAAATATTTTCAAAGAGAGCAGAGAAAGTAACACATCCAAGTAACACACAGCCACTGTAACTATCTTAAAAGTGTAATAAAATGTATAAACACATACATTCTGGAAAGCTCTGGGCAAATCTCAGAAGGAATGAGTTTCAGTAGCAAAATCTCATAAAATATAATAAAATGTTACCAGACTTCAAAATAACTACAAAGTGATAAAGCAATGTGAAGAAGTCACAAGTAAGTGAATGAAGGCAAACAAATGCATTTAGTTTTTCTCTGGCCTGCCTCAGACATCTGTTCACTGGAAGAAATCAACACCCGCAGAAAATATCTGAAGATTCTTTTCTCTAAAAAAAGTTTAAACGCAGAAACATCTGCTTCAGGTAGCAGGGTTGTGGTGTGTATATGTAACTGTGTGTTATTTCCTTGCTGATTTTCCCTGCAATTTCCAAGTATTCCCAAAGTTATCCTCATCTGGCTGCCACTAACCTCATAATCAGTGAGCTGTGAGTAAAGGGAGAAACACTGCTCCAATTCTTGAATAAGCACACCCCACCACCAAATTCTACATATAAATGTTTAAATTACTGCACACTTGGGAGTACAGCTTCACATCTGGACAAAGACCAAGCTACCACCAAAAAGAATGGCATCACTGTCCCTGAGCCACAGTGATGCCTGGTCCCTGCTTTGGCTGAGTGCTAGTGACTGTATCCAGGGTTACAAGTGATTTCCTCTCTGTTCCACCTCAGCGCAACAATGCCCAATTGCTCATTCCATCACCAGGCAATAGCAGTGGACAGACCAGGGACATCCTTGTATGAGGGTCTTTAATCAGCTGACATTAACAGTGAAATAAAATACTCTGAATCTTGAGGAGATGAAGAATACCAAGATGTGTTCTGTTGTAAAAGATGCCAAGTTCTTCCAAATTCAGAAGTCTGCAGTGGTTTTGGCTTTTGCAGCTCAAGGAAATACACTGTAATTGTCATTCTGGAAGAGACTATGAACAATACCTTTGGAAACAAGTATTCAGTGAAAGCAACAGCTAAGAAAATGCAAATGGAGCAGCTAGATTATTGCAGACATGCTCAATGAAAATGGCAGTATCTTTCTCCCTTACTTTTTATGCTTATGCTTCAGTCTCTTGCTAGCAATTTAGGAAAATAATTCCAGGTTGATGTGTCACTTAAGGGAGCAAATTATCTGGAAATATGAACCATAATTTCTGTGTCCATATTAATTGCAAATCTAGTTGCAAAATCTGTCTCTTGAATTTGCTATTATCTGTATTCTAGAGCTATCACTGCCATCTTGAAGCCAATAATATTTCACTATTTGTAAAAGCCACAGTATTTGTCATAATTTTATAAATTCCAAAAACTGAGCAGAGGTATCTGGAAATACCATGATACTGATCACAAGCTAATTTCAAATAGAATTATTCTAGGAAACCAGTGTATTTGTTCTCTTGCCATTGAGTTGAGAAAGCTTAACATATCACAAAAGTGTAGCTGAAGTCATGAATAAATCTCTCATTTCATTACAAAAAGACTGAAATGATTCCTGGTATCACCAGTTTCAGAAGCCTCAATCAAAATTTAAGCTTCAAACCTTTTCATAGGTAACTATCTACACCTTCCATTCATTATGGAGAACAATGAATTGAGCAGAAGGAATTCTAGAAAGAGGAAATGGGCTTTAGCCTTCTCATTTGCACAAACAAGTGAAGTGCTCATTTTTCCTCCTATACCCCAAAGATTGAAATTGTACCTGCTCACAAACCATTACATATTCTTGCCAACTGTAGCAATCCTGAAAGTTAAAGAAACATCTTCCACACTTGGTACTACATCAGCCAAGGACTCCACAAAGGTGGCAATGCTTCCATTCCTGTGTAGTTTATTTCCATTGGAAAGGACAAATTTGTAAGTGAACTTTGAGTAAACGTCTTAAAATGAATAGTTGAGAAATACAAACAGACTGCAATAAATATAATGCACATACAGCTTAACTTCTTTTTAAATGATAAGTAACAAGAATCCAATTGACTTAAATGCCAGCTCCGAAATACCTTTTTCTGTGAGCTCTAACTAGTTTGTAATTACCTGATTACACCAAGGTATGTTTTGTGTCCTCTTTTGTAAGGGACAGCCTAAGGGACTGTTTTCCAGGTAACTAGGTGATGACTAGAATTCTTCTACCATCTTTGTAGCTATCACAGTGGCACCTATAGACCCGTCATGAGAGCAAAATCTGTGCTGCGTGTGATGCCATGTACCAAATCCTGCTACAGAAATTTTTCTTTAGACAAAAAGAGGCCGATCAAATGTAAAAACAATAGGTAAGAACTACAGTAGCCTAAATTTTAGCTTGATTTTTTTTTTCCATGTTCCATGTTATTACATGGAATTAAGTAGAATGAAATGACACATGTGAGGTGATATACGTAATGGAAGACAAACTCAGTAGTCCGCTACCACAATGCAAAGATGCAAATTTTTCAAGTAAAAGGCTTAAATTCTCTGGCTTATTTATGGAACCTAAATAACTAGATTCCATATCCTATTAAAACTATAATAGATTTCTGTTTCACTGACAACCTTCCAAATACCAATACAGTATTTCCTTCACTGAAACAATTGCAAAAAGAGGAACTGAATTATTGTAATGTACTATGAAGTGGTTAGACTCAAGCAAGTCATTTTTTAAAGACTTCAGCTTGTTAATTTATCAGTTACAAACACTTCATTTAAGTATTTTTGTTTTCAGTTGCTCCTATTAGAATTCCATAAGTTACTAGCACTTCCAGAACAAACACAAGTCAAAACTACCATATAAAGACAGTTTGGGAAGCCATCCACGTGTTGACATTCGGCACAGGTTTGAGTCTCTACCTTTTGATTTCCTGAGGATACATTTCATTTTTCTCAAAGCCAAATGACCAAAAGAGAAACTTTGAATACTGGTACTGAGATGTACGTGCATACAGTAACCCCCTGCAATGTTTTAGGCTGGGGGCGGTGTGGCTGGACAGTGCCCAGGCAGAAAGGGACCTGGGGGTGCTGGTCTACAGCCAGCTGAACAGGAGCCAGCAGTGTGCCCTGGTGCCCAAGAAGGCCAATGGCTCCTGGCCTGTATCAGGAATGGTGTGGCCAGCAGGAGCAGGGAGGTCATTTTCCCCCTGCACTCGGCACTGGTGAGGCCCCACCTTGAGTGCTGTGTCCAGTTCTGGGCCCCTCAGTTTGGGAAGGACTTTGAGACACTTGAGCAAGTCTAGAGGAGGGCAATGAGGCTGGTGAGGGGCTTGGAACACAAGCCCTGTGAGGAATGACTGAGGGAGCTATGAGTGTTTTACCTGGAGAAAAGGAGTCTCAGAGGCGACCGTATCACTCTCTACAACTTCCTGAAAGGCGGCTGAAGTCAGGTGAGTCTTTCTTCAGGCAGCAAATGACAGAACAAGAGGACAGCCTTAAGCTGCACCAAGGGAAATATAGGTTGGATATTAGGAAACTCTTTTACAGAAAGGGTGATAAAGTGCTGGAATGCCCTGCCTGGGGAGGTGGCAAAATCACCATCCCTGGATGTGTTTAAAAAACGAATGGATATGGCACTCGGTGCCATGGTTTAGTTGAGGTGTTGGGTGTGGGTTGGACTTGATGATCTTGAAAGTCTCTTCCAACCTCGTGTGTGTTCTGTTTTAAGGAAAGTCACTTTATTCTCTTTCAAGCACAGTCCACTGCAGCCTACTCCAAAACAGCAAACAGTGTCTCTAAGAAGATGATGTTGCTGTCTCAGAAAATAGTTTAACCTCAGTGTCAAATC